ATAATTATAAAGAAACATCTTCCCTCTCTTGAAGGTAGAGAGAAAACAGAATATTTAGGACAAACTTATACTACGTACTGGGACTTCCATAATTTGGAATGTATTCTGATAGCTGAGTTTCTTATGTGTGCTTCCCTTCCCATGTTTTGTTATATGATGTGGGATAGTACCGAACTGTGCACGATTGCCAAATCTCTTGATGTGTGTAAGTGAAAAAATTCTTTACAATTTTTACATATAGTGCACTTAAAAATATTTTTGTTGTTTTTTCGATAATCAGAAGGTATACATGAGGAGAGGTGGTGCTACTCAATGTAACAAATACTGTTTTACCAACTACTTAAAGTTGAAGAGGTGCTGCTGTACTCTGAGACAAATTGTTGGCTTCTGGACAAGAACAGACCTCAGCAAAGGGACTTCCATGTCTTTCTCTGATAATTCCAGTTTAAGAACCTCTCTGCATGATTTCTGAAATGTCTGTGCCTTGAATATAGCCAGTGAACTGCCTTAAGTTTCTGCTGCACATCTGAGTCCTGCTACTGAGAGCTGCTCTGTAAATCTAATTCTTGAAATACTGGTTACAGTGACTGTGAACAGTGCCATATGAATGAGTTTCTGAATAACAGTTTGCTGGCAGGCAGCTATGTCAGTGGCTTCAGGCACTGTAGGATGAACTGCAAAAAAGAGTAGAGCCATTGGGTCAGCGATTCCCAGTTCCACTGCTCCTCTGATCCAGCCTTGAACGCTGCATTAATGAGTGTTGCCTTCCAGACTGTCCTATGACCTTTTCTCGTGTTCTGCTTTTACTGTGGAAAGTACAGTTGCAATGCTGTTACCGTATATTTACAAGAAAAAGCATGGAGCAAAGTTGTTTAAACTTTTTTTTTTTTTTTTTTTTTAAGTAGGGTTTGAATCTCATGAGTAAGGTGTCAATCTAGGTGTGAACAACACTTAAATATGTGTTTCAGACGTGTTTTCTGGGTTGGGTCCCTGTGTCAGTAGACAGGAAAATGTTACAGTGGATGCTGTCCTTAAAAACTGACTTGGCAGAGGAGATGCTGAGGATTTAAAGCTTCTGTTATCTTCAGGGAGAAAGAATGTGCTTGGCTGTACAGGCTCAAGCAGAGCCACAGTCATTACATGTGGAATAGGTTAATGGTTTTATCTTCTGTCTGGAATATCAAACATAGTACAAATTTGGAGTAGAAATAAAAATTCATTATTGCAAAAGCTGAAGTTACCGCTTTCTCTACCTTTTGCTTTTTTTTTGGGGGGGGGGAAGAAAAATTTCAGCAATAGACCATCAGTGAGAGGGTATAGCATTTGCTTGTTGAGGTCAGTGCTGTCATGATGATGAAATGGTACAGGATACATTTGATATTAGATCAAGGGAAAAAATCTTTGTATGTTGTAAACTCCAGAACATCCTCTTTTACACAAATGACCTTCAGCATTTATTATCTTGGTGTTCTGCTAAAACCATGATAGGAGCAAGTAAAATAGGTGAGCATGATGTATTGCATAGTTACTAAAATTGACACACGTTTTGTTTGGCAGAGTAACAAGGCAGTGTAATTATAATGCTGTGGTGTGCAGTACACAGCCTGTTAGAAAATGTTTCTGATGTATTAGCACTCAGCTTTTATTCTACTAGTATACTATATCATTAGCCATATTTTCTGGGTCTTTTTTTGAACTTAGCTTACCAAATTACAGGAAGAGCATGAAAGGCAGAACGCATTCTTGCTAATTGTAGAGAGAGAGGCAAACTAGCAAATGAAATTAATTTTCAGATTTTCTTTTTCAAGTGTTTTTTTTTTTTTTTTGTCAAGGGTTGTTTTTTTTTTGAGGACTTATCAATTGTTTCTTAACTAGAGGCTTATAGAAAAAATGAGGGAGAAAGTCGTGGTGTTTTTCAATGAACTTGTTGATAAAAAGCCAGTAATGAATGTCTGATATATGCAAACAGTACAAAGCAGCATGTCTGAAGGACATACCCTGTTGAGTATTAAAAGATTTAGTTAATGAACTTACCGAACCACTAGTAATTATTTTGAATTACGTAGATAACATACTACCAGCAACTTGCTAGATGAAATTATTTGGAATATTAGTATTCAAAAATAGAAAGTTTTGCTTGGTAGATCTGACTTTAGTCCCTAGTAGCATAAATGGGATAAGTAAGCATCTGGTGCGAGGTCCTGAAGCCTTTTTGCCTCCAATGCTATTCTGCTTCATGACTAGGAAAACAAAATCAGCAAAAAGTGCTTTTACCTAAAATAAATCTTAGTTAAGAATCTAGGCAATATTTGATCATGTGGCTAGCGTTCAGTAGAGACAATCAGAGGTTAAAGTTTAATACGAGCTTAACTTTCTTGCTGAATTGACACCACAGTGAAAACTTCAGAATTTCACTTTCATAAATATCAAGTGCATGTGTGATGGTATAAAGTCTTAGAGATGACAAAAATAAAAAAGTATAGTTCAATCACTCAATATCAAGTTTGTCATCTGTTTTATGGCAGTTTCTTCTTGCATTTCTATGAAGATAGAAGTTATCACTTATCTAGTGATAAGAATTATGAGCTTGGTAAGGAATGGAATACTTACAAATCATCTTTTTAAACATAGCAGAATATTATAGCGGTCATGAAAATAACGGCCCTTCAGCTGAGTAAGCCTGACAAATCTATCCTATTTCAATAGATTCTGAGCCATTTAATGAAATTGGACTTGAATCAAATAAGGAGACACAGGTTAAAGAAAACAGAATATGTGAGAACAAATAGAGAAGCGTGGTTGAACAGGCAAACCAAAACAAAACCCAAATAACTTTATATTGAATAAAAGGGAGAGAACTAGCAAGAAAGCAGCTTCACCCTTGAGAAACAATTGAGTGTACAGGAACCCAAATAAAGCTGCATAGAGGCTTGGGTGGAAGTAAGGGTTGCCATCCTTGTAAATCAGCTGAATCACTGGAAAGACTGAAAACTCTAGAAGTTCAGCATAATCAAGAACTTCCTTTGTTGACTTCACTTTTGCACCTTCACTTACAATTTCACCTTGAAGAATACATCCCTTATTTGCTATGTATTTTTTCTTTAAATTCCCCTAGGCGATACCTCTAGTATCTTCAGTACCTCAAGTAATGGCAACAAGTGCAAGTCATGTTTGTTGTTTGTGTCTTTGGAAGCAAAAAATCCAAGCAGACTTTATGCAGCCTACAACAATTTAGGTATTTTATCTCCAAGAGGCCACAGAGAGCTAATAGCAGTGTAATAACCATTGTAAACCTCTCCAGAGTACCTTGTGAGTAGGTTTCTAGTTCTGATAAGTTGATCTAGCTGTGGCTGGTACTATCAAGTAGCAGACTGTAGTAAACACTTTCCAGTCTTGTTAACAAGGCCCTTCAAGAAAAGGTAGGTTGAGAAAAGGTCACCGGTGAAACTGGATGATGCTATCCTGTTGAGCTATATGATGGAAAAATGTTTTTGTTGTTTGTTTTTTTTTTTTTTTTTCTTTAATGGTACCTATTTGCTCACTGTAGCGGAGTATCAGGCTGTAATTATGTTTGGTTGGCTCTGTGCTGCAGCTGAAAAGCCTTTGACATTTGTGCTTCTCCAATTTGTAATTGAAAAATGATCCTTGAATACAAGAACTTTGTGGTTCTTGACTGTTAAAAAAAAAAGGTCAAATTGGAGGGAGTTGTCAAATAAGGTGCTAGAGGCATTGCTGTCACTTGGTTTTACTTGCCACCTTGACTAATGACTTAAGAAAAAGGGAAAACATAATTAATTGGATTTATTTAGGTGAAACGCAGTTGAGAACTAAAATGAAAAAAACCTGTGACCATTAATAGATGAAATAGTACAAGGTGGGGAAAGACTGCATAATTGTTCGCTTTTTTTTTAAGAGAAATAAAGTAGAGAAAAAAGAAATGAAGGAAAAGAAATAGCACGAGTTCATACTGCTCACCAAGTTGAGTTTTTACAGTAAGGCAGCAAAAGATAGACCAATGAAAGGAATGTCTGTATAGAAGATGTAGAGCCATTTCTTCATTTCATGGATCAGGGAAGTAATATTACCTGATCAAGGTAAAATTCTATGTCTTGATATCTCAATACCTGAAAGTTAACAGATCCAAGGGGATTGAAGTAAATAGTGTAACTAAACATCTCAGAGTGCCTCATGAAAAATATCGAGATTTAAATTGGTATGGCTTATCCAAACATTCAGCAATGAAAGTAAGAGTATTTTAAAATCCTCTGTAAATATCTTAAAATGGACAACATCAAGGAGTGAAGGACAGGGTGGTTATTTATGAGGGACCAGGTCACATGCTGCGCTCTGGTAAAACCAGAAACAGGGCAAGAGCAGACTTCTTTGGCTCCTGTTTCTGCAGGAGAGTATATTGGACTTCCATATGTTGAAACAAGATGTGGTACCATTTCTACAGACACATTTCCTATCATCTGTGGGAGTGCAGTGTTCTCTTTTTTATTATTATTTTTTTTATTTTTATTATGCGACTACCAATCAACTTTCCATTGCAGGAACATGATTTTGGTCTAATGCTGCATGTGGTGCGCATCTCATAGTTAGAGGAATTAAATTAATAAATGGTCAAGCTACTGTTCTGTGTGTTAAGTGGTTGTTTTGTTGGTGTAGGGCAGTTGTGGATTAGGAAATTATGGGGAAAATATTAAAATGAGAATTCCTATTTGAAAATACAGTTCTATTGCTACCAGCATTTTAGTCTGATTTAGACCTTTCCAGCAGAATTCTGTTAAAAAGATTGTGTGAAATATATTTCCATTAAGCTGTTTGCACTAAATTTCTGAAAATGAGAAAATAATTTCTATGCTTTGATAATACACTAGTTCACAACTAATATATCATTGTTTCTTCTTATTCTAGTACATGAGAAACTATAAAGCAGCAGTAACAAAGGTTCAAAAATGTTGGCAAATGAGTGATCTATTCCACAAGAGAATTAGTGTCTGCTCTGTACCTTGGCAAGGAATTTGAATGCAGAAGGGTAAGCTGTTTTAATTGTTACTATGAACCGCTTTACAGAAAAGGATTATGCAAATGTTTGAATTTTTCTTGGTTGAGTAGAGGGGGGTTTTTTAAGGCTGGAATGAATTATTCAGGTAAGACTTTTTGTTTCTTTTCCATTTAAAGTGCTTGTGACAAAGCCAAAAGCCTAAGTTTATAGACTTTGGGGGTTAGAGAGGTATTCCTGTTCATTTGTCCTATTAAACAGTACCCTTGACATGAAGTCAAATGCTGAGTGTATGGTGGGACCAAGTTGTTGACCCAAAGCTCTCACAGTCTAAGTAAATGTGTTTCAGTAACCCTGTTGTTGAGTGAGAGATTAATGCTTGTTGGCATGACTATTACAAATTGTTTTTTCCTGGTGTTTTTTTTTCTTACCTTTTTTATGTCCCTACCTTCTCCACACCTGATAACTCAGTGCTTAGATTGAAAACAGTGCTGCAGTCCACTGAAGCTACAGTCTCCTTGCTTCTCTTTAGTGTAGAGAGAAAGGCTTGTCTGCATAAAGGAGAGGCAGCAGCTGTGAAGTTTCCATTGATTTACTGGAAAAAAGGCAAAATTTGGGGACTTACAAAGCTATGGATAAGAGTTTATTTATGGAGATGGTTATGATATACTTCTCAAAAACATTAAATAAAGCTGAATGTTTTCTAAGCGTGGATAGGGAGCTAGGAGCCCCTGGAAAACTGAATATTTCATTTAGCACAGTGCGAGGAAGGTAAGCTAGAACTATGTAGCAATGTATGTAACTTTTATCCTTTTGGTATTTGTATAAGCACAAAAGCATTTGTTTAGTGATCTAAGGTTTGACAAAAACCTTTTCTTGGCTTGCTTATTTCAGTTGCAGCAGTGTGCTTTAGAGCAAGTGCATATCGCCGCATTTGACTGTAAATCCAAAAATCCATTGAAATACCTCTGAGAAAGCATAGAGCTGAAGTCAGATTAGGCTGAGTCAGTCTGTTGATGCTGCTGGCTTTCCCAAAGGTTATCTTTAATCTGGCACCAACGGGCTCTTGCCATGATATTATAGCCTCTTTAAAGTACTTGCATGATTTAATTATTTCTCAAGAACAGATCACTAGTCTGCAGTTCCCTTCTGACCTCTCTTCTGTATCTTGATGTCCTCAGCATAGGTCGTATGCAAATAATGAGTTTCAAGTAAAAGCTCCTTGGATTTGGAATTCCTGGTATGGCATTGTCTTGTAGGATGACCGAGGATGACTTCAGTTACTGCTGGTTTTCAGGAAGTCAGTGTGTATGCTTATGACTTCACGCTGTTACTTCCCAATTCCATCTTGGACAGGTCCTATGGTTCTCATTTCCTGGATAGTTGGGATGAAAGGCTGTCATTCTTGACTTTCTAAAATAAAACAATGGGTATATAAGTCCTTAGCTTTCTTCTTTAGACTCTTTCACTACTTAGGCAACAGTTTCTTGTTTAAAGATCTTTCTCACAGGGTAGATGGGAGCTTAGACCAAAAAAAAAGAAGGGGGGGGGTGGTCAAGAGAAAGAATAATTAAAAAAAAATAAAATCAAAGCTTGCCAATTGCAAAAGGATCTTGTAGTCTGGGAACAAACGGGAGGAGACAGATTCTTTCTTTCTGGCAACGGCAACTCAAAATCTCTCCCACGTATGTACTGGATTCTCCTTTTATCTCTGTACTTCAAAAAGACTACCTAATGGGTGTCTCCTCCCACAGGATGGGGCAAAGGCAGACCTATTGGTGAATAAAGTTGTTGACGGGACTCATCACCAGTCCAAAACACTGAATCATTTTATACATGTAGACTTACTTATAACAGATTTATTTAAGATGCTTAGATACAAATTCTTTTGCTGATTTGCAAGCAGGCTTATGTAGTATTTGGAATTCTGGAAATTAAAGACAAAGCTGGTTTTATGTGCAAAGTCCTTTATTTTAAGGACATTGAATCCTTGGGCTTTTAAAGGTGTATGTAGTTTTAGTGTCCGTCACTTACTGAGTAATTGAAGAATGTAGCATTGCGAAGTTACAGGAGAAATTACGTGGAAAATGCATAGACTTGTACACAGAAATCTTTAGGGCCAGGATTAATCATTGGCACTATCAAAATCAGATGTTGACCAGTGACAGGATCTAAAAACTCCAAAATGGCAAATGTGTTCTAATTTCACTGTAGCGGAGTTAAAAGAAATGTTTCGACTTCCCTGTGTTATTTTCTGGAGGGTTAAAATTTATTTGTACTGCAGTAGTAAATGGTAGAAGGTTCTAGCATGCATGACCTGGTTCAGCTGGATAACTGTATTGATTTTCTTTTTCTTTTTTTTTTTTTTTTTCCAGTGGCTCTGCTTTAGTTAATTTTAACTTCATTTTTTGATTCTTGATTAGTTCAGTGGTAAGTTGTCATTACAGCATTCGACTCCCTAAGGAGATGATCTATAAGGCAGATTTTTCCAGTGGAGGGTCATGATTCAGCTAATTTACATATAATTTAAACCGCAGTTGGCCTAATACCCTGAAGTAGAATTTGAGATACATGGAAGTCCAAGAATGTAATACCATAAATTAGTGTTTATATTAAGTACTCTTTAGAGACCTGCAGGAGGGGCCAGTGGGACACATAATGCCCCTTGTGTTCTTTTTTTTGTTTTGTTTTCATGAGGCACGTGAAATTAAAATCTCAAGGAAGATTAAGAAAGCAGTTGCACTTACTGCAAAATAGCCATTTAACATTTCAGTGGAAAAGCTTTGTTTCATCAAAGCTGCCATATTTGTTTTCCCAGACTGTATTTGGATTTATATTTTAATTGCCTATTGAAATAAATGAGCATAATAAAAATGTCTTCATGCGGTTAGAGCAAGCTAATGAACTCTGACTTCTGCATTTACTGGTGTTTTACATTTCTTGTAAGTTTAGTATGAGCTACATTTAGTTACTTAAACCAATTTTTATAAGATACAAGGAATTTGTCTCCATGTTAACATCTAAATGATTTTGTCAAGCTGAGCCAATGTCTCAGAATGCTGTATAGAGGTGGCAGACGGAGGATAAATTAATTGGATTTGTGTCTTTCCTGACTGTTTTTGGCGCAGCTCCGCTGTGGACTGAAGTGTGAGTGTCACTTCACCCAAGAAAAGACAGTTATTTACTGAAAGATTTCCTATATACATTAATGCTGTGGTTTCCAGTTCGGTACCATAGTACAAGCCAGTGTGGAAGTTGGAAGAGACAGTCCTGCTCTTCTTCCACTTTCTAGTACTTATTGTCAGCCCTTATTTTTTGTTGGCATGTGGTAGGAGGAAACTTCAACACAGTGGTGGGTGGGTGGGTTTGGTTTGGTGGGTTTTTTTTTGTGGTTTCTCTCCCCCCCCCGCCCAGTTCACTGACAGAGTTGCCTGTGCAGGAGTGCTTGTCCCAGTGCAGAAGGACAGCGTAAGTGGGAGTGTTTGGGGACAGAAGGCGTCGAGGAGCACAACTGCTTTGAGAGTGCATTAAATCAAATGTAAAACTATACGGGACTAATGATAGAGTAATGTCAGAGCTAAATGTGTTTGAATGGCTGTGTTTCTGTGAAGTAGTTTTCGGATGGCTAGATGGCGAGTAGTTAAAAGTGCATTAGTAAAGTTTCTAAAAGAATCAGAAGCTACGCCTAGGTTTCTTTCTAAGTAGCTGTACTTCAATGTGATGAAGTCAAAACTGTACAAAACATTATCTCATACGGTGATAACTAAATTGATGGGTCATAGTTTGGTTCTGTATGGTTTGATAAGTAGCAATAACCATGGATAACTGTTATATATGTCCATCTGATTCGTGTTAATATGGAACAGTACTAGGGCCGCATGATGACATACCCTTGTATAACCACAACCCTAAGAAGAGCAGAGAGGTTAATGTATGTAGTTCTTACCTTGCACTCCCCCCAGA